CAGGGGAGCCTGGAGTTGAACCATTAGTGAGAAGAGCTTTAGCAGGTTTGATGAAAAGATATGAGATTTGTAGTGAATACGTGTTTATTCTTACTCTTTATTATCATTCTTTTATATTCATTTTATCATTCTTTTATACATGAATCTATAGACCATATGGTTTAGGAAAAAATAGGCTTAGCTCATGCTACTGCTTTAATACTTTTATTAGATCAATTGCATTGATTGTATTTCAACCTCAAGTACTTTTATATATATTCTCATTAAAATTGTATTCCTGTTTTAATAAAAGGGTCTGGATGAAATTAGTTAAAGAATGAAAATTTTACTTTTATCTTACATTAATTCAATTTATAAGAGATTGTTTGTGATGGTATTTTTGTTCCCATTTAATTGTTTTTGGGGTCATGAATAAAGATATTTAATGAACTTGGTGAGCTTTTAAAGACTTGTCATCATATCCTATGGTCAGTTGGTATACCCAGGGGGACGTGTATTATACATTTGCTCCTTTACAAAACTTAGAAGATTTCCCAAGACGTATATTTCAACCAGGGCTGTATGACGTCATTACGAACATCCAGACCAGTATTTTAATTCTTGATGACACACTTTTCTGACTTCCTTGCCATTAATACAATAAGTTTATGTGAAGGGATAAAACAGAAAAGCAGGATGTAATTTGAGAATTCAATAGCCTGCGCAATATCATCGCAGGAAGGACAGACTCCAAGATCCTTTTATACTAGGCTTTTGAAAGGAGAGCTATTTTAAGGGGTAATTCATTTGAACTGTGAGTCTATAAACACCATTTGAGAAATATTATCCACTCATGCCCTGTTAAAAGCAGTATCTCTCGGGGGCAAAATGGGGGTCATTTATTTTCTCCTTTTTTTGTCATCATGCTAGTCAGAGAGAAAAGATGTATACATATCAGAGAGAGAAAGAGAGCTCTGGCCTACATGCAGTTTTGTAATTCATCCAATTTCCTTGAGGAAAACTTTGCGCTTTCTTTCTCTCTGCCTCTGTCTCCTTTCTGCTCAAGACTCTGCATTGAAGAGCCCACACTTCCTGTCTGTGATGGAACCTCGATAAACAAGCTTTTATTGTATTGCACCAATTAGTCTAGAATGATCACCAACGCCACTGCCCCAAGGAGTCACATTCTCCGGATGACAAGTTTTTCTTTTCCATCTGGTCTCTCTCTCCCATCCAGGTTTCATTCTTTTTCTTTGCTCAAGGGTAAAAGGACAAGCCGTGTAGATTGAGAAAGGATATGAATTTTGAATATTTATTTTTTCTTCTGCTTTTACATTATTTGTTTCTCATTTGAGAAATGCCCCATGGGTGAAGGCATTCCGGAGAAAAACATTTTTTTTTTATATTTGTGTACCGGTACGCGACAAAGGGGAGAGTTATTAGACACTACGTTACAATCCACTTACAAAATTGCTAATTTAAAATTTGCATAGCTGTGTGATTTCATATTTCAAATTAAACAAAATAATCTTTGTCTGGTTTATTTAAAAACTTTCGCCATTCTATTTCTCTGATTATTCTGCTTTATTCCAATGAACCTAAGGGCTGGATTGCCTTTAAGAGACCACATTGTTAAAACACAAGGGATGAGAACTGTAGCAAATCAAACAGCAGAAAGATGTCATGCTGTTTCCTCTGCGCGTATCATCACGTTTCCATCTGCAATCCTTTTTTTCTACTAAAAGTTGTTCTTCCATGAAAAACCAGGTCTCTTTGCAGGGGTTTCTGACATTCAAAGATGAACAAGTGTCCTTCATGTCAAGCATTACTCTCCACCTGGCTCAATGCTATCAGCCTTTATTAACTCAGCACCCTTCCTTCAGTCACTAGTCATTCCCTGGAGAACGTGATACAGTTTGGGTTCTCTCTTTTTTTTTTTATAACAATGAATTATTTGTTACCCCCCCCCCCCTATTCGGAGAAGCTTAGTTTTCAAATATACTATGTATAGCTCTATTAGTTTGCCCCCCCTAAATCTTCCAACCCCCACCCCCCCCCCCCCTTAACATCCAGGCTTTCCTTTCTTGGTGTATATAAAATCAAAGGTGTAGAAAAATGCACGTATATGTTTAGTTCAGAAGCAGCCCAGAGTGAATAAGGTTTTGTCATGTGAATGTTATTTGGAAATATGATTCAGCCAGATTTTTGTCAAGATCTTAATTTTCAAGCTATTCCATTATTATATGTGGCTGCTTTAGAGTTAAATTTCATCGGATGAATCATACCCATACATTTTTGTTTAGTTATCTTACAATTTTGATGAGCAAATTTGAGAGAAGGTAGTTTTGAAGGTTTTTTTTAACATGTGATATATTGTCATTTTAAGTGACTGAAGTTAATTCAGTTAAAATTGAAAAATGTTTGAGTTTGTTCCTTTATTAGAGGAATAAGATATAATAATAATAATAATATTTAATTTGTATATAGCGCTTAATAAAAATGTCTCTAAGCGCTTTACAAATATACTATTACCCCGGTCATTGGATCCAGTGCTATACTGTTTGGTTTTTTTTATTGCATTATTATGGAAATAGATGAGAAATTAAATCTTGTGAATCATATCCGGTACCTTATAAAGTCTAAATCAGGATTTCCATTCTGTACACTCCTAACATATGCTGGTAGACCCAAATTCATCTTGTAGAAAAGGGACAGAGATATGAGCCAAATCAATTTCAGACCTGTTACAATCTTTCTACAAACTCTGGAAACCTATCTCCCTAAATTGAAGTCATGCATGAGAAAAACATCAATGAAATGTAGCAACCAATCTCAGATGTCGCATCCATCTCATGCCCGGCCGGAAATGGCAGAAAGAGAAGTGTTGGTAAACGTTCAAATTGAAAGGAATGTTGTCATCCGGTTTGCTTTGAGCGCCGGGATGGAGGTTAACCTTCTCTGTCTCCGTGGATTGAGGAGACTGGATGGGAGTGGAGGTAAGGTGGTGAACTGATATCACATTCACTCTATATTTGTTGCCTGCCGTCCAAATTGAAAGTGAATTGCCCGTTGAGATGTGGCAAGAAGCACAGATATATTTTCATGTCTTATGGAAGGATATAAGAAAGGTCTGATTCATCAATTTAGATGCATGACAAGTCAAACATTTTCCATGAATTGATGTGTATTTTATGATTCCTTTGGCTGTAAGTAGACACAAACTCATTCTACTTACATGTATCTCCTTCAAAAATGATTCATGATGTAGCACTTCCTGTAAATGTATAACGTAAAAGTAAAAGGAATTTCTTTTGTCTGAATCAGATTTATACATCCATGAGAGTATGTATGTTTTTCATTTGGAATTGTTTAAAAAAAAGAAAAGTGATTACTCTTGATATTGCTTCACAAGTGTGGATATACTGATTTGCTGTTTTGTCACAAAATATGCTTACTTGTAGAGATTCTTTGGCTATATTTTTTTTTATCTCACTGTCTTTTTACAGATACTTCTCATACCTTATAATGTTTTCTTTTATCTTGACTTGTGATTCTTTATATTCCCTTCTTGAAATTTCTCCTAGATCATAGCTTTTTTTTTTCTTTCTTTTTTCTTTTTCATTTTTACTATTGTAAATATGTATGATCTTTATAGTCTCCTGTCCATTCAGTTTTGTTCTTTCTTTTACCTATACCGTTCTATAATTTCATCTCTTCTGCTGTTCATGACTTTTTTCCTTCTATCTCTCTCCCTCTCTCTCTCTCTTTCTCTTTTACTGTTTCTGTCTGTCTTTCTCAATGTATCTGTCTCTCTCTCTGTCTCTCTCTGTCTCCCTCTCTCTCTCTCTCTCTCTCTCTCTCTCCATCTCTCACTCTTTCTTTGTGAGATGAATGATTAATAGGGCTTGCATGTAGAGCACGAAGCTAGAGAATTCAAGTCAATTTCCGGCTCAGCGTATAATTGATCAGGGTCCTGCTGCACTTCCGATGATATTAAGTTGCCTTCAACAAGGTATACCGAAGAGGCCAGGCCTTTTCCACATTTTCTCTCATTACATTTATGTCTGTAAATACACCGCAGATAGCTAGCTCCCTACATCTCCATTCCTCTCTCTCTCTATCTCTCCCTCTGTCTCATACTGTTGCTGCTTTTTCTCCCTCTATCATCTCTCCCATCGTCATATCCTTTTGAAGCATATCATGCTTATCTGATGATATCTATTCCCAACCTATTCCTACCGGAAATTAATTAGTATTCTTAAGCCTCACCTTATCTACCGTATTCTAATTACTTTCCATTTCCTGTTTCTTTAATGTCTATCATTCAATGTGATTATTATGATCATTTCAACATGCTTCATTCTCTTCTTTATCTTAAAAAAAAAGGAATCAGTATAATCATATTTTTCTTGCCGCTATTTTTCTTTTGTTGCTTTTATATCAACTTGTTAACAATCTGTTGTCTGATAACTATTACTTGAATATCTTCATCAAGCTTTTTTTATTAGTATTATGTTTTCAAGTTCTATTATGCTCACTGTCTCCCTCTCTCTCAATCTTCAGTTTTCTTTTTCTCTTTTCCCTCTCCTTTATGTTATCCTCTTTGTTTCTTTTTCACTTCCATTTCTCTCTTGATCTATCCTTTTTTTTTTTTTTACTCTCCCCAATTATTTCTTAATTTTCTGTTTCAATATTTCACTTTCTATTTTTTCCAATTCTCTTCTTTTCTCTCCCTCTGTTTCTGTCTTTGTCTCTGTGTATTTCTATCATCTCTGTCTCTTTCCTCCTTTGTTGCCCCCCTCTCTCTCTCTCTCCCTCTCTCTCTCTCTCTCTCTCTCTCTCTCTCCCTTCCTCCCTCTCCCTCTCTCTCCCTCTCTCTCCCTCTCTCTCTCCCTCCCTCCCTCCCTCCCCCTCTCTCTCCCTCTCCCTCCCTCCCTTCCTAACTCTTTTTTCCTCCCTCCCTCCCTCCCTCCCTCTAAATATCTACCTTTCATTATTCCCATCTCTCTGTTTCTCTTTAGGATACATGTATGTTTCCATGATCAATCAGTTCTTATCCCCGAGCCTACAACAGTAAAAGGTCAGTGGAAGGAAGCGTCTTCTAGACCATGTGATTCATGTTGGTTCACTCTAAAGCCCCGTATCTCAATCTCTTCATTGGAAATTGTGAAGTAAAGTCGGTGAAATGCCAAAATATTAGCCACATGAATTGTTTGAGTAGCCAAACTTACCAAGTTGCCTCATGAATATGTAAGCTTTATCACAAAGATATGAACAAAATCAATTTAACAAGAACCAAACAACAACAAAACAAACAAACAAACAAAATGCTTGTCTGCAGGAGAAGTTATCTTGTAATAATTGATTAGCATTATTTATTGATGATTTAGTAGTAGTATTTGTATGTCAGAGGCAGCAAACAATGTGCATGGGTGCATCAAGTTATGTAGAAAGCTCTAAAAACAGCTTTGGTAAAAGTAGATAGTGATTATATACATAGAAGTTGCATTCTTACATCACCAAATCAAAAGAGAGCTATAAACTGAAAGTTCTGCTTACTGTTGCTCGGTAGGTATATGCATATTCTTGACTGCACATCACTGTATTCTGCTTTGTGTAAATTTGTTCCCGTTTGATATTCTACACTTGATGTAATAAAAATGCAAAAAATATATTGATGTCTACTTATGCAACTGCTTTTGATATTGTTGATTTTCATTGGTATTACGATAGGATAAGAAGATTTATTAAAATACCAGTTAAATGCAAGTTATTATATCAAATATACACTACCCATCTCAAAAAAATGACAGCAAGATTGGCAGCATATGGCAGAGAAAGACACAGGATATTTCCCCCAATGTTTAGATGAATAAGTTCTATTAAAACTTTAATCTTACCTGTCTCCGCTCATGTAAAATCTCTCAAGATGTTAATGGTTTCTGGGGTAGCAGCAGGATATAAAGGATCGTGTGGATTTCTTTCTCTCTCTCTTTTGATATTTTACTCATCCAAGGAAACCAGAACTAATATCCTGTTGTCGATGAAATCCTTAATTTCTTTCTGCCAACTCATTATCCAAAGAGATTTTCATCGAAACCTACATACAGATGGGCGAGTCTGGAATGGATGATACATTCCATTGTGCAGCCGTTCACTATTTTTCTGTTTCATAATTTTAATGAAAGATTTGTAACACCATGATTTTCCTTTAGTTTTTTTTTTTTTTTTTTTTTTTTTTTTTTTTTGGGGGGGGGGAACCTTGTTTAGTTTAGAAGTAATTTTGTGTGTGTGTGTGTGTGTGATTCATTGTGGTTTTTAACTCTCTCTTCAACGTAATTTCAATTCTTGATTTTACATATCTCTCTTTTCACCTATTTTCATATCTTCATCTGAAGTGAGAATTCTTTCTTTCGTAAATTTGGTATTCAATATCTATTTCATTTTAATCTCACCCAGTCACCCCATCCTAGGAAATCAGATTTAATATCTTGTCACTGAAATGATACTCAATATCTTTTTCCTGCTATTGATATTTTCTCCCACTCAAAAATACAAAACAGATCTAAATGTATATTTGCAGATATAGTGGCAGTTTATTTCATTAATGCTTTATCTTATACTTGTGTTTTTGTCCATTTACTGTTTTCCCATCTTTTTCTGCTTGTACAGATATATAGCCTTTTGCTCTTTGTCACTATATTAGTCCGGCAGCCATCTCGATATACCTTGTTTTAGGGTCTATAGTTTTTTTTTCTTCGGATTATAGTTCCTTAGACCATCAATTTGAAGAATTCGAATGCTGACACTCTGTCAGCATTGAGCAATTTGAGATATGTGACGTCATACAAAATGGCCGCCAAAATCCCCTTTTTAACCAAAATTAATGATATAAAAAGTTTTAACAGTATTTTACTACATTAAATGGCAGTCAAATATCTTGATTTTTTTCTAGAATCATCACTAAATAAAAATTGCGATGCTGTATGATCACAAATGATATGCAAATTTGCATAATTCGGAATGGCGCCCTCTATAGACACATTAACTTGCATAGGTCAAAATGATGGCCAAATACCAATTTCTAACATGAGATTATCATATGTCATGAGTCAGATGCACTGGATACAGTGAGTAAAGATTGTGCTGCACATTTATTTTTATTTTGTAATTTGATACTCGAAGAAAACACGGTTGAATTTTATGCTCTCTGTCCCATAGATATGAGGTGGCATATGGTGATAAATGCCCATTTTCAGTGACAGCGTTAAGAAACTAGATTTGTATTCTAAGGTACTAGATTCTTTTAAATTAACCTAAAAATTACGAACTACCACTACGATACAGGACTATATCCGTTTATAAGTTTGCTTCAAAATCTTGAAATTTGTTTAAAAGCCCTCTAAAGTGTTGGGAACCCTAAAATATTCCATGCGGAAGAGGGTATCATTTAACACTTAATTCTGCAAAGTAAGGTCGTGACTGTAATGCGTGCTTCCACACGCATGTTTGCAATGAGTTCTCTTAACATTTTCTACAAACGCTTCAGTAGTTTGAGGTAGTGAGGCAAGGTTTGGGGGTATTTGGAGCTCCTAGTCTTCGGACCCTTGATAGCCACACGTTGATACGAGCCTCTGACGTTCAGTTGGTTGTTGACTGTCCATAACATGAAGCAAAGCATTGAGTAGGTTGAGTGATGACATATGACCATGCTGCATCAACATTGCCAACTCAGTCCTAAGGGAGTTGAATCTTCTGCTTCATCACTTTCAGCATTGTACCCTATCCAATGCCAAAGTATGCCCCAAGAGTGTCGCATCCCGTCAACGCATGTCCTGCCAACATCGATGGAATGATATCTCCTAACTTGTCTACATTGGCAGGAACATCAATAACAGTTCGATTTGTGAAGGGGCGTCTCCATGGTCATTGGCGTTTTATAAGTCCGTCATGTAGATAATGTTCCAAATTAGTACGTAGACGTCTGTGTCATCCACTAGGACCCTAACATACATCTTCTCATAAGCATCAATTCCAATCGCTTGCTGTTCTTTGATGTTGCCTGCTTCATCATAACTATGTTGTGGACAGACCTTTCCTTGGCATGACATCACTGCCTGGAATCACTTCAACAAGAACCTCATCTTGACGGTAAAGGCCTGCTTGTGCTTTTGCCTATTTATGAGCACCCAATCATCCTGCAGACTCGCGCATATAATTATGATGTCGATCAACTGTAGTTTGTTGTCATGAAAAGATAGTTAAGTTAGCAACACTAGAGACACGTTTCAACAACCTCTCTCCCTAGCTTTATTGATCTTTCCAAAGCTTTTGACTGCGTACAACATAAACGCCTATGGAAGATTATGAGCTAGATGGGCTTTCCAGCACATATAATTCAACTCATCCAGTCGCTCTACCAATACCAAGAAGCAAAAGTAAGAACAGAGAATGGCGACACCGAAAGGTTCACTATTGGTCAAGTTGTCCGTCAAGGCTGCAACCTATCACCATAAATTTTCAACATCTATGCTGAATTCATCATGAGAAAGGCATTTTATGGTCAAGCTTCTGTTGGTGGACGAACGATCACCAACCTAAGATACGCCGACAATACATCACTCTCTGGCGTATTAATGGAGAAGGGTATGGGGGGGGGGGGGTTGGGGACAGTTGAACCCCCAAACAAAATTCAAACTGTTTTTTTTTTATATATTCGATACCAGTGATTTACAAATGTTGCTGAAATGACATGATTTTCCTGGGTTTTTTCTCACTTTTTAGTAAATTATTATTTGTTAAGCGTATGTTGGAAAATGACAAATCCTAAATCCACAGTCAAGCAAAAAATATGCTTATTTAAAAGCCTACATGTCAGGGTCCGCAAAACAGCGGGGCTCAGGGGACTCGAGCCCCCCTCACTTTCTGTATAAATTATGTTAAAGAGAACTAGAAAGAAAGAAAGAAAGTGACCCGAGGTGAAACGAGGTATCAAAATATGTTCATCTTACAGTTAATAAATGCCTGAAACCCTTGAGCTTCCGGGGGCTGTGCCCCTTGAACACCACGCCAATTTGCGCTCCTCTCTTCCTGATCGTAAATACTTCAACCCCCCCCCCCACCCCGCTTTAAAAAAAGTTCCACGGGGCCTGCATGTAACATGTATGAGTGGTGGTGATGCAGATTGTTTTTCTGCCCCTCTAAGTGTTTTTGCTCAGTATGCCACTGACAACACTTATAACAAGAACATCAGAAGAACTACTAGAACTCCCTAAAAAAGAGTGAAGGATGCAAGTGAATAATTTGGACCCTACCTCAATGTGAAAAAGACCAAGATCATGATTGGTGGAAATTAACTACATGCAACAGAGCATGGTGGTTGATGGAGAAGAAGTTGATCAAGAGAACAAGTTTATATAATGTTCTTGGGTCAATGATTGTCAAGGAGGGTGGAAGCTCGGCAATATCTGCCTTTGAAATGTGGTGTTGGAGGAAGCTACTTGGGATATCATGAAGAGATTACAACACCAATGACACAATTAATGTCCATCATCGGAGATCAACCGCCACTTGCTACCAGGATTGACAAGTATAAGCTACAATAGTTTGGTCACGTTAGCAGAAGGTCAGGAGACAACCTTGACAAATTATCATTCAAGGTACCTTTGAAGAAACACGTAACAGAGGAAGACTCAAGGTCAGATGGACTGACGAACTTAGGGAAATCACTAGCCACCCTCTAAATACTAAAGACACTCTACCGGTTTGCAGGAGACAGATGCCGATCAAAAGGTCTCATCAAACGGGTCACAAGGGTGAGCCATGATCTATATGACAACGACGACGACGACGAACAGTAAGAGATAGTTTCTTGGAGGGCAGCAGTGACGCGGGACTCAGTTGGAAAACTCTCGACCCGTTATGACCTCTAAATACTCTCGGACCTGTCAAACACCAAGCAAACATCAGATTTTCATCCACAGCAGAGCACAACCATCAATGACTGTACAAGGTTGTTCCAGTGTCTCATGCCTGGCTGACATCTCAACTTTTGTCAAATTCTATATAAGTCCGTCTTTGACATGAGAGTGCTCGTTTCCAGAATCATCGAAAAGTGCTGTTGGGACTGGTGAAAGCTCTTATGACAAAATGTCCTTGACATTGACCTCTCTTGAACTTGTCTGCAGTCCTATTACTCTGGAGTAGATCAACTTTTCATAGACTTTCGTACCCCAACATTGACTTCTTCATGGCTGCCACGGTTTGAACATTCTTGGAAATTGTGACATAGAATCCACCAGGTAATTTCTTTTGAAAATCATGCATCTGTCTAGTATAGATGTCAACTGCTTTATCCACATTCACTGACGTTGGAGCAATGCTGGTCTAAATAAAACCTATTAATTAAATAATAATGTGTGTCGTAAAACCACTTGTCACCGATTTGTTGAAAAAAAACCTCTTTCCCTCTTTCATAGCCATTTTTTCCTTGACATATGTAGGGTAGGTGTAGGGAATTGGAGACCACCAAGCTTGAACCCATCACTGTCTGTCCGTGTTGGCTCCAATATTGATGTACCGACATATGTGGCCTTCAACAACACTACTGCATATATCCAATTCATTTCGAAGACTACAGTGCGTTCTCTCTACGAGAAAATTGTCAAAATTGACCAAGATAAGCAATTTTGATCGTAAAATTTTGCTCTGATATAAAAACACAATTTTCACTGAATGTTGTGGTGTATGCAGATATTTAGGGGTGGCTCTTTAAAAAAATAGTTTTAAAAGGAAGTTTATGAAATGTGCCAACCATCACAGAAAGCTTATGGCCACTGTGTGTTGTGAATGGGTGTTGCAATTCACATTATGAATGGTGTCTGATCAGAAATGTGTGTAGGTAATGGGGGACACCAGGTCCAAGATAGGGGTCTACTTCTCCCCAGTTGTCCATTTCATGTTGAAAGGCACTATCATGAAACATATTTGGTTGTACGTGTCACCATTCTAATTTGAATGCATTTAATTTTAAGAAGTTGTTTCTATGCTGTGAGTTTGATAAATGTAAAAGTCATATTGCCAGAACATTATTCTGAAAGTATTTTAACATATTTGAGAGCACCTTTATTACTGTAAACAAAAAACTACAGAAATATTTTGGGCCCCATTGTTTTAAAATCGTTTCAAAATTACAGTAAGTTCATTGGCTGCAGGTATATCTTTCAAAAAGTGTT